TTAGGAAGACGTCCATAAAAACTTTCCAGTCTTTAAAAAAAGCACTTGTTGTTTTCTCCCTGATCAGATTTTCCATTTCAGCTACTTCTGACATTTTTATGATCCATTCCTCCATTGTGGGAATTCCATCTTTGTGCATATAATAATCTTGCTGCCATTATCGTATAAAAAACTAATCTTCCACGGGTCTTTTCCAGTTCACTATTCTTAACTCCCAATAAAAAGGTTATGGTGGTTTTTCTTTGGTCATATTAATCTTTAACATTCTTTCTATCGTTGTATGTATTTGTATCCACAATTTCTTGGCTTTTTTACAAGTGTAAATGGTAAAATATCCGCCTGCGTTTTTCACATTTCCAACTGTGATTTAAACTATCTTTGTACATTTTTGATAATTTCCTAGGTGTCGTGTATCCATGATATATCACTTTATTTAAAAAAAATTCTCCTAAATTATAATACCATGGCCATTCAGGTTGGTCTACATTTTTCACACATCTCAAAACAGCAGAGGGGTGTTGTCACAAGCTATCTAACTGAGCCAGAGACTGGAGCTTTCAAATTACAAATTCCCTGATACCTGCCTACCCTTATGTCTTCCTACAATTGTGTTCATTTTTTAAATAATCGCTTCAGCGGGATCTTTTTTTCAAGTTCTCGTTCCATAGTTGTAGTCTCCAGGTTTTAGACCTTGAAGGAGTTGGCTCAACAACTCAATAATCTGCTCCCTTCCTCCCTTTGCTTTTGTGGAAATTCAACAGATTATAAGCTCTTTACTTGATTAGTAGCTTAGTGAAGGGTCTGACTGTTCGACTCTTATTTAGCTGACACTTCCAGGTAAGCATCTGCTTGAAAACATTGCAGCTGTATATACATCCAGTCCTATCTCAGAACACTGTTTTAAATATATTTTTCTGTTGATAGTATTTTTATTAGGCTCTGAGCAAACTTCATTGCATTGAATTGTAATTATTGTGAAAGTTTTTGATACTATTTCTTGGTAAATGTGTAATAGTAATACATATATGAAATAACAGCAACAATAACATCTGAACCTTTTCCATAAAAGCAATCCAGGTGTAAATGTGTCCTCTTTTTAAATCTATCCCAACAAAGCCTGACACTAACTGGAGGGAGCACAACTTGGGAGAAGACTACATTAGGGCTTATCTAAAGGACTATTTCCTTTTACATATGAATCTGCATATCCCTTGTGTTTTATGGCTAGAGATATTTTTTGCTTCCTGATTGATTACTGCACTTTGAAGTTCCAGGAAAGGCTTGTTTATTTCAATTTAGGTCTAATTTGCCCAGAACTGTTAAACCTATTGTGACATGACTCTAACGTTTTGCAATGATGCAATATTTTGCTGTTGTTTAAATGTTTTTATGCATTTCATTTCTACTATATTGACTGTGGTGACAATGAATGTATTGACACATTCTAATATATTGACTGTGGTGTTTTATTTAAAATGACACTTCCCATAGATATAAAGTTCTATAATAAACTTTTTTTTAAAAGCCTTAATTTTTTTTTAATAAACTTAAAAAAAACCTTTATGGACTGAAAAGTAGAATTATTGTTCTCCTGTTCCATTTTCCAATGAGTCTTTTTTTATCTCTGACATTTCAGATTTGTATCCATTTATTATTTTCCATACATATTGGCTAGTTTGTTCAGTAAAAATAAGTTGGATATCGCTAACAAATGGTACTAACTTTCCTTGATGTTGTGGGTGATACTCTCTATATCTGATGAAGTGGACCATGAATAATTTCTTAATCCTTAAGATGCCATAAAACTCAACTTCCTTAAAACTACACATACCATGTGTTCTTTCCCTCACCTCAGTACACATACATATCATTTCCACCTGCCTGTCAGTTCTATAAAAATGGGATTGACCACTTTGAGGATTAGTAATATAGTAAAATGGGGTGGGAAATTCTAGTCTTCTTTGAGTGAAAATAATTTCTACATCTGCCACAAGAAGCAGTCTGAAGTACTGCTTACCACCTGAGGTGATTAGTTCAGATTTTAATTTGCTCAAAAACATTTTAAAATGTAATTCAGCTGGAAGCAGGTATTTGTGAAATGTCCACAAGACTTCACATATAGATCCAAGCATAAAAACAGTTCTTATTTTTTCTGGAAGTTGGAGATTCTACATTCAGGGTCCATTTCTATCCAATTTACTTATTAGCCATGTAAAAGCAATTATCCTGTTATCCCATATGTACTGTCCTAAACTGTATTCTCCTACACGATAAGCCAGAGTTCATAGATATACTATATCAGAGAGCAAACACATATAAACATCTGTAATATGACAGCTAAAAGATCTTAAAAATGAGATCTACTTTGTTGGCACAGCTATCAAAGAATGTTTCAAGAAGGAAATCTCGGGAAAAAAAATTACTTTCCTCATAGAGTTTTCAAAGAAAATTAGATTGATGAAAATCTTTACTATTGTACCTAATACTAGTCACTGTTTTGGCATGTAATTCCTTCTTATTTGAGGTTTTTACCACTATATATCTATCAAACAAAGACTGTCTTCTTTCAAGATGGTTAGGTGGTCCAAGACTTATAACAGTTTGTTTAGTGACCAAAGTTACAATGACACTGAAAAATTGACTTATGACCATTTTTCACTTACGACCGTGGCAGCATCCCCATCGTCACATGATCAAACTTCAGATGCTTGGCAATTGGTTCATATTTATGACAGTTGCAGCGTCCTGAGATCTTGTGACCAAGTTTTGCAACCTTCTGACGAGCAAAGTCAGTGGGGAAGCCACATTCATTTAACAACCATGTTACTAATTGAACATCTGCAAAGATTCACTTAACTACTGTGGCAAGAAAGGTCATAACATGGGGCAAAACTCAACTTAACAACTGTCTTGTTTAGTAACATACATTTTGGGCTCAATTGTGGTTGTAAGTTGAGGACCACCTGTATGTAAAAATCAGTTTTCCTTTAAGTACAGCTACTGCCCAAGAAATCTCAACAAACAAGCAATGCCAGAACTTCCATAAACTTCATTATCTTTTGCAAGCATCACTAAGGCTCTGACTTAATTGAATGGAGATTCTTGATCTTTGGAGATTCTTGATTCAGCTTGCTTGTTAGGAAGCTTGGACCAAAGTTCCCTTATCTTATAAAAGACCAGCAGCTAGGTTAGATAAAGTAAGACTCACAAACAATTGGAACAGCTTGGCCAACGTTGCATCAATTATCTGAGACACCTTAGAACGGAAGGAAAGTCTCTTTCTATAAGGAATCAATGACACTATTATGCTAATACCAGCAGCTCACTATGTTTCCAGGGCACTCTAGCCAGAACCCACCAAGAACAGAAGATATAGTACAACAAGCTGTTTACAGGTATAGTCCTCAAATTATTGGGACCAGAGTCTCACTCGTGCAATGTAGTCAGTAAGCAAGGTGTCATGTGACTGCTATGCTCAATTACCATAATCCTGTCATTCCTAATTGAGGTTGTTAAGCGACCTCATGGGTACTAAGCAAGAATGCAATGTGCAATGTCTTTGCAACAGCCAGAAATGCTTTCAAGCCATAAGGCACACTTTCCAAGGCTATTGCAACTTCAAATGATCATAAAATAATTGTAGACTCAAAGACTATTCATAGTCCTCTACTTACAACTATAAATGGGACTGGAACTTCCCTCACGAAGCAACACTAACTCAGAAAGCTCAAACTGCCCAAGGAGCTGCTGATACAGTTCTACAGAGGAATTATTGAATCTATCATCTGTACCTCTGTAACTGTCTGGTTTGGTTCTGCAACCCAACAGGACAGACACACACTTTAGAGAGTAATTAGGACTGCAGAAAAAACAATTACTACCAACCTGCCTTCCATTGAGGACCTGTATACTTCACGAGTCAAAAAGAGGGTTGTGAAAATATTTACAGACCCCTCACATCCCGGACATAAACTGTTTCAACTCCTTCCCTCAAAACAATGCTATAGAGCACTGCACACTAGAACAACTAGACACAAGAACAGTTTTTTCCCCAAAAGCCATCACTCTGCTAAACAAATAATTCCCTCAACACTGTCCAACTATTTACAAAGTCTGTACTACTATTACTATTAATCTTCTCATCACTCCTTATCACCCATCCCCTCCCACTTGTGACTGCATGCCTGTAACTTTGTTGCTTGTATCCTTACGATTTATATTGACTGTTTCCTAGTAGTATGATTTGACTGCTTATTGCACCCTATGACTATCATTAAGTGTGGTACCTGATGATTCTTGACTCTTGACAAATGTATCTTTTCTTTTATGTATACTGAGAGCATTTGCATCAAGACAAATTCCTTATGTGTCCAATCACACTTGGCCAATAAAGAATTCTATTCTATTCTATTCTATTCTATTCTATTCTATTCTATTCTATTCTATTCTATTCTATTCTATTCTATTCTA